AGGTACCCCTAGAGGAACTTCCAAACTTCTGGAGGAGTCAGTGGGGAATCTAGGAAGGATGAGATTTAAATGAATAGATACATGGAGGGAAAAACTCATGAAGGAGACTAGGAAGGAGTCACAGAGTTAAGAAGAAAACTTAGAAGAGATCCGAAAGATGCAGAAGCAGATGGGATCCAGGAGAGCTAGAAAGGTATCTTCATCAAAATGGAAAGGCACAATGTGAGACATCATATTAACAGAATAAAGGACAAAACCCACATCATCTCAATAGCTATACTTTCTCATAACAAAAACACTCAACAAACTAGGAACAAAAGGGAACTTCAACTTGATAAAGAGCATCAATGAAAGCCCCACAGCTAACATCATACTTAACAGTGAAACAATGAATGCTTTCCCCCTAAGATCAGAGACAAAACGAAGATGTCTGCTCTTGTCATTTCTGTTTTACACAGTACCGGAGGTCCTAGCCAGGGCAGTTAGGCAAGCAAAAGAAATTAAAAGGGTGTCCAAATTGGAAAGGATTTAAAAAAAAAACAAACCAACAACCAAAAAAAGAAAACGAAAAGAAAAGAAAAGCTCATACAGGAGTGTGGCTGCCATCATGGTTGAGGTTGTGGGAGACACATGGAGTTGTAGGATTTGATTTCTGACTAGCTTTCACCTCCTAGTGAACAAGGTCATTATCTCATCAAGAAGAACTGCTGCAAGTTAAAATGAGCTTTTATGGAAAATGGGAGAGAGCTATCTAAAGTCATAACCTTGTTATAAATGGAGCAGGCAATCCAGGGTAGATGAGAAAGATATAAAGACAAAAGGGCTGCTAACAGGGTCAAAATGCTGGATAAGTCAAGGGTTTAGATTACCAGTGAGTCAACGAACAGCCAAAATAAGAATGGGTAAAAACAGAGTTGTTTATGCTCGGAATCTGTTAATACTAGAGTTTAAGAACTCAGACAGGAGGCAGGGTCCTGGGTGCGGCCACTGATAAGGTAGCAAGAATTGAATGGGCTTAAGGTGTTAATTAGGTTAAATATTTAATCTACTGTTAAGCAGACTCAGATTATACCTAGCAGAAAGAGGAAAGGTATATAGCTACCTAAGTAAAGCAACACTAAAGGCAGTCATTACAACAGTGACTACTTCTCACACAACTAAAAGCTAGAACAAGATTTTCTAGCCCTCCCAGATGCCCCATGGCCTTTTAATTTTTTATTTATTTATTTATTTTTTTTTAAGATTTATTTATTTATTTGACAGAGAGAGAAATCACAAGTAGGCAGAAGTAGGCAGAGAGGCAGGCAGAGAGGCAGGCAGAGAGGGAGAAGCAGGCTCCCTGCTGGGCAGAGAGCCCGATGCGGGGCTCGATCCCAGGACCCTGGGATCATGACCTGAGCCGAAGGCAGAGGCTTAACCCACTGAGCCACCCAGGCGCCTCCCCATGGCCTTTTTAGACTTCAAGCACCCTAGTTCCACTTCAACAGCTCATTGATCCCATGACCCTCTAAAACTTAGGTAACAAAATAGCACATACAGATTACTTTTCCTGCCCCAGTGAAGTGAGTAAAGATCAGAGAAACAGCATCAGAACAAGACTGAGAAAAACTTTTTAGTTTTGGGCCTATGATCTTCTATAACCTGTTAATGTACTGCTATTAATTAATTATATATTTTATTATTTTTTTAAATTTTATTTATTCATTTGACAGAGAGACAAAGTGAGAAAGGGAACACAAGGAGGAGGAGGTCAAGCAGAGGGAGATGTGGGGCTTGATCCCAGAACCCTGTAATCATGACCTGAGTGAAAGGTAGACACCCAACGACTGAGTTGCCCAAGTGCCCCTAATTATATAGTTTAGAAAGATTTATTCATTTATATGAAAGAGAGTGAGAGAACATGAGTGGATTGGGGAGGAGGTAGAAGGAGAGAGATTCCATGCTGGGCACAGAGCCTATGCAGGGCTTGATCTCACGTCCCTGAGATCATGACCTGAGCCGAAATCAAGAGCATCACCCAGGTGTCCTGCTGTTATTACAGAATATTTGCAAAACACTGTCCTGTCTTTTCAGAGTTTCTCCAAAACACCATATGCTGATATTAAAAGGGTTATTACAACATATCACATCATTATTTCTATTAAGCATGTATTAGTTTGGGAGGAAAAAAAAATCTACATTGATGGGAGAAAACTTATGAAACCCTAAGATTTCTGAAGGCTATTTATTTATTTATTTTTTAAAAAAGATTTTATTTATTTATTTGACAGATAGAGATCACAAGTAGGCAGAGGGGCAGGCAGAGAGAGAGGAGGAAGCAGGCTCCCTGCTGAGCAGAGAGCCCAATGCGGGGCTTGATCCCAGGACCCTGGGATCATAACCCGAGCTGAAGGCAGAGGCTTTAACCTACTGAGCCACCCACGCACCCCTCTGAAGGCTATTTATAAAGCTGATCTAAACAATTAATAACCATTCACCTACCTTTTTCTTTTTTTAAAGAGTTTATTCATTTGACAGACAGAGATCACAAGTAGGCAGAGAGGCAGGCAGAGAGAGAGAGGGAAGCAGGCTCTCCGCTGAGCAGAGAGCCTGACGTGGAGCTCCATCCCAGGACCCTGAGATCATGACCTGAACCGAAGGCAGAGGCTTTACCCACTGAGCAACTCAGGTGCCCCTCATTCACTTACCTTTTTTTAAAAAAAGATTTTATCATTTGAGAGAGAGCTAGAGAGCACAAACAGGGGGAGTGGCAAAGGGAGAGGGAGAAGCAGGCTCCCCACTAAGGAAGCTTTACGCCTCGACTTGATCCTAGGACACTGGAATCGTAACAGGAGCAGAAGGCAGATGCTTAACCGACTGAGCCACCCAAGCACACCTCACTCACTTATCATTTTAACAAATACTTATTTTATTATATCTTAATTGTCAGCCACTGCTCTAAAGTGCTCAGGATGCAGTGGTGAAAAATAAAAGCCTTACTTCCAGAGAGCCTATATTTTAGTCGCAGGAGACAAATAATAAATAGAAAAATTTAAAAAATACAGATATAGGGGCGCCTGGGTGGCTCAGTGGGTTAAAGCCTCTGCCTTCAGCTCAGGTCATGATCCCAGGGTCCTGGGATCGAGCCCCGCATCAGGCTCTCTGCTCTCTCTCAGCAGGGAGCCTGCTTCCCTCTCTCTCTGCCTGCCTCTCTGCCTACTTGTGATCTCTCTGTCAAATAAATAAATAAAAATCTTTAAAAAAAAAATACAGATATATATGGGCATGAGGGTAGCTCAGTCAGTTCAGTGTCCAGCTCTTGATTTTGGCTCAGGTTGTGATTTCAGGGTCCTGGGATCAAACCCCATGACAAGATCTGCTTCAGATTCTCTCCCTCTCCCTTTGCCCCTCTCCACTCCCTACTCGTGCATCTGCTCTCTCTCTCGCTCTCTCGCAAATAAATAAATCTTAAAAAAGAAAAAAAAAAGATACAGAATTTCAGATAGCGCTAAGGGATTTGGCGATGGGACAGAGTGTGTGGAGCATGAGGCTCCTCTAGCACGAGTGGCCTTGAGCTGACAATACCACGCCAGTATACCTATGCTGCTCTACCAATTATTATTAAGGTTTTGGCCCAGGCCACAAATAAGGTTGAGGAAAAACAGACACATAACAGTAAAAGATTGATGCTAGCATCTATATCACTTTAGCAACCCTACTCACAAACTGTTTTCACTTATAATTCATGATATAGCCAGCATTATTTATAATTCCTAGTTATAAATGACCACATACCAGTATCACCACATTTATGCTTGTGAAAGTACCCATGCTTAAGTGCTATGCTTCTGTGATCTTTTTTTCTTTTTTTAAAGATTTTTTATTTATATATTTGACAGAGAAAGAGAGACAGCAAGAGAAGGAACATAAGCAAGGGTAGTGGGAGAGGGAAAAGCAGGCTTCCTGATGAACAGGAATCCTGACGCAGAGCTTGATCCCAAGATCCTGAGATCAGGACCTGAGCCAAAGGCAGCCACTTAACACTGAGCCACCCAGGTGCTCCTGTTTCTGTGATCTTGAGGTACTTCATACCCTTTTAAAAAATATGTTGGGGTGCCTGGGTGGCTCAGTGGGTTGGGCCTCTGCCTTTGGCTCAGGTCATGATCTCAGGGTCCTGGGATCGAGCCCCGCATCGGGCTCTCTGCTCAGCAGGGAGCCTGCTTCCCCCAACTCTCTGCCTGCCTCTCTGCCTACTTGTGATCTCTGTCAAATAAATAAATAAAATCTTAAAAAAAAAAAAAAAATGTGTTCTCTCTACTGCTAGACTTAGGACATTTTATTGTCATGGTCATGTCAACTAAAACCAAACCAGAAAGACAAATTTATATATACAAAACTTTGATCTTGATATTGATTTCTAAGCAAACTAGCACTATGCTACACTTGTTTTTTACTAAAATTATGAGTTAATCTTGTCATCCAAGTATAAATCCCAATATCTATATCACCCACCCATTAAAATTCTTTGCCAGTACTACAAATGAAGAAATCTTTAAAGCTCAATTGCATCAATTTTTCTATTTGCACTATAACAGTTTTCACGCAGAGAGGGAGGAAAGATTAGGAGCAATCACACTGAAGAAGATCAGTTAAACGGATCAAGTCAATGATTAATCCTAAAGTAACCTGGAATTCTTTAGCTCTAACACCTGGCTGGGATTCCCCACAGGGCTTCAGAGGACTCCAAACTCCAATTTAATAAACAATCAAATTGATAACCCTGTTTCTTAAGAAGTTCACAATTCAGGATGAAAAATCAATATCCCATGTAGTAACATGATTTACCCTCATTTCTTCAATTAATCTACTCAAGTTCTATTGAAATACTGTATTATCACTACAAAAGTATTATTTTAAACTGCTCTGAAATATAATAATGTTACAAAAAGAGGTCATCTATTTCTTGCCTTTTCCAGTAACTCTAAAAATAAACCTCGATCACTACTTTAATCAATACTTACATCTTGATTATATTCCAAGAAGACATGAAAATTTAAATCTTTTCTCAAAATAGGATGTGCTGCCACACGACATAGGAACACCTCATGCATTGCAACAGTCTTCTTGAATATTGCCAAATATTCACTAGAAACAATACACAAAATTAAAGGTAAAACACTGCATCAACTAGAAAATCGTCTGCAACAAGTTTTTCAACAAATACTCTGAATTATACTGAATGCAAAATTAAAGATATAAAGATAAAATCCACATAAACAAAGATTTTAGTTGAACTGTTAATAAAATATGTAAAACCCAGCTCGAAAAGGCTTCATGCTAGTTAATGGGATTTATTATATTTAAATGTTAATATTTTTAGGTTTTATGAACCTTTCTTCTTATGCAAGTAGATGTTAAAGGTAACTACAGAGGGATTTGTTTTCAGCTCCAGAGAAAGTATACTACAAATTATTTGATACAATCTTTTTGACTCAATTTCTAGATAATTACTGCATTTAAACACTTGTATACAAAAAATAAAACCCAAACCTCAGTACACATTTTTGACATTAATAATTATTTTCATCTAATGACCCAAACACACAAGAAAAAAAGCATACCACAGAGACTAATTTTTGTCATTACATTGAAAATCTGTATTTAAAATATTTTAATATCAGTGAATCACAACGATCATATAGTAATACATGTCAGTTTGAAAAAAAGAAACACTCAAGGAAAATGCCCAATATTGTTGCTTCAACTACGTGCAAGGAGGATAAATTTTACATACCAGCAAACCAGCAGGACCAATGTTGGGAGAAGTTTGATCTCTGTGAGGGTAGTCATTCAGTGAAGACAAAAAAGAAGGATGCAGAGGATGGAGGTAGCAGTAGGATAAACCCAAGGTTCTCTGTTATCCAACCCCTAACCAGACCACAAAAGAATCATGATCAGGGCCACTGGAAAACCACAGATTCTTTAATATTAATGTGCTCTGCTAATTTCCAGTTTTCAGTCTTATAACTATAAAAGTATAGATCTCTGTCTGGTCTCAGACTATTGCTTGCACCCAGCATAGACAAAAGTCTTAAAATACCTGGCACCTTACACTTTGACAAAAAAGATCTACTTTGCTAATTTATCCTGTCAAATGAGTTTAGCATTCTGAAAAGGAGGCTAGTGGCCATGGGGATATATGCTTAAAAGCTGAAACTAAGTGGAAGAGGAGAAAAGGAAATGCACGAAGAGGAGAAATGACTAGAAAAAGAGTGATGAAAGTGATGATGATGCAAGGAAACTATTTCCTTGTATAGCCCCCAAAATACAGAAAAACAATACACTGCAAATCTAAAATTATTTCAAGTGTCTAATAAAAGAGGAAAGATTTGGTATTTTTAGCAAGTATGCTAAAAACAAAATAGAAACTATCTCAAATTTTTTCAAGGATTTAATACATTTCCAGTATATGTGAAACTAATAATCATTCAACGAAAAACATTTTAGAACTATTCTCTTGTTACTTTGCTCCTATTCTTCTTCCTCCTCAGAAGCCAGACGCAGAGAAAAAGAGGGCAAAAATTATACATACACACACGCACACACACATATTTTTAAAAAAAGAAAACAGAACATATGCAGAGTTGCACAGTGCATATTTCTATGAGAAACAGAAGTTTGGGTAGTATGCACATATCGAAAAAAGAAAACCAGTTTGGCAATGACTAAGACCTTGCAAATAAAAAATAAAACAAGTTACGTTCTGTTTTTAAAAAGTAGTATTTCCCTTTCTATTATTTTTTAATAAGGTTTTGGATCCTCTGTTTTCAATTTTCAGAGTCTATTTAAAACATTAATTTAAAGAATTTAACAATGCAGACAATTATTCCATAATTTTCCTGTAGGCTCTGATCATGATCATTAAAACTGGTTGTTTGGCTTAAACCTGCATCTTTCAGAAAGGGTCACTGTGGTGAAATGATTAAAAGGATGGGATATCAGAGAGCACAGAAAAAGGCATTAAAATAAGCACAATTAACAAAGCAGTAAGAAAAATCACATACGCTTCCAGTTCCTGTTTCATCTTTGTGAACTCTTCCTTTGTCATGGACCCTTCTCCTTCTCCCAGCTTCTGAAGTTTTTCCCTTGAAGCGTCAAAATCAGGTCTTGGTGGTGCTGGTGGGATCTGTAAGAGAACCAAGTCACTCATTTAAAGACTATTTTCTTTTTCACAGCAGCCGTACTGCTGCCACCATAAAAGACTGAATCTGGGAGAGCTAAAGACATCCTGAATGAACACAACACCAGAAATATATCAATTCAGGGTAGAGAATTTGATTAGGTCCTTTGTGCCAACAGCAGAGCACTATTTTCTACTATTAGAACACTCGTTCCCACACTTTAGATTTTTTTTTTTTTTTTTTTTTGACAGAGAGAAATCACAAGTAGGCAGAGAGGCAGGCAGAGAGAGAGGAGGAAACAGGCTCCCTGCTGAGCAGAAAGCCCGACGTGGGGCTTGAACCCAGGACCTGGGATCATGACCTGAGCCAAAGGCAGCGGCTTAACCCACTGAGCCACCCAGGCGCCCCTCGTTCCCACACTTTAATCTGCAGATTTCTATGTGGCAACTTAGAGTCCTCAAATTATATGCACATTAAGCTCTGACTATATACTAAAAGAAGATGCATACCATTTTTCAGAATTATGTAAATGGTTCAATTAAATACAAATATTTTTTAAATTAAGGAATTCATAGTAGCTTTATGCTATTCTGTTTCTAAAATTCATAAATCCCAACAGTAGGATCCAGCAAGGAATGTTAAAAAGGGTTCCTCAACTGGAGGAGTGGATCAGAAACAGAAAGTACGGACTTAAAACCAGAACAAGACAGGGATTAATGACTAACGTCATTCTATTTACTCACAGTGGGTAAGTAAACACTTAAGATCTAGAAGAGCCGTATCATTCAAAGGAATAATAAAGAGAAAGTGTACATTGAGAGGAAGGGCCTACAAGTAAGAAGTGTTTAGGGGAAATGATGGAAGTAAAGAAAGCAAGAAGGTATGAGGAAGAACAGATAAGTAGGGGAAAGCTACAGAATGAATACAGGAAAAGGGTTATGCTTGAGGAAAGCAACAGGGAAAGAAGTATCAAGAGCAGCTGAGCACACATACACCCCATCTACTGTGTGCCAGGAATGATGCCGAACAATGTGCATATAAAGATAAATAAGACATAATCTTTTTTCTTTTTTTAAGATTTTATTTATTTGTCAGAGAGAGTAGAAAGAGTGAGCAAGCACAAGCAGGGGAAGCTGCAGGCAGAGGGAGAAGTAGACTCCCCAATGAGCAGGGAGCCTGATGCAGGACTTGATCCCAGGATCCTGCGGTCATGACCTGAGCTGAAGGCAGGCGCTCAACCAACTCAACCACCCAAGCGCCCTAAAGAAAACATGGTCTTGCTCTTTGAGGAGAGTTTAGTCTGTAGAAGGACATGGTAGAAAGAAAAAGCCATCAGACAAGATGAGGACAGAAAGGTGGAAATAAGATGCAAAAAGGAGGAGCTTCCAGGTTGGTGAAGACACTGACATGCTGGGAAGGTGGAAGGTGGTACACCTGCAGAACATGAGAGTTTTGCACCAACCCCCTCTCCCTGTACCTTGTCCTATGCATCTCTTTCTTTTGGCTGTCCTGAGTTGATCCTTTATATAAACTGGTAGTTTTTGTGAGAAAAAAAAAAAAAAAAAAGGAATGCACTGCCAGTTGTCCCCAAATTCTGAGTCATACAAAGAAAGAGCAAATGACTGAGAAGGAGTGGCCACAAGGATGGAAACAGAATCAGACCAGGATGATTTCAAGGAGATTACATGAAACTAAGTTTCAGGAATTTGAGTGTGGTCAGGCCCTGATGGATACCTAAATAACCTCTTAGGGGACCCTCCAACCCTAAATATCTGCTACCTAAGGGTTCAAAACCAATATGGTTTATAATATCCCCCTCATTAATCTCTAGGAAAAGCCTGTTTCAATTCCAATAAACAGTAAGAATTTGAGTTTAAATGAAGGAGCATAAGATATCCATTATCTTCACACTCTCAAACTATAGACAATTCAGGATAAAAGGTGGTAGTCCATTGTGTTTTAAAACTGACAATTTTTAAAAATCACACCAGTTCACTAAAATGCTAAACAAGATTTAACACATAACAAGGTATCTAAAAAGCGCCTAGAAAATGGGATTAAAATGGAACCCCAACACTTACAATGTAACCCGCATAGTCTTCATTTTCAATGAAGGAATCATGAAGCCAGATAAATTCCTCATGTTGTCGAACTACAGAAAACTCATTTTGTTTAAAATTTGGCAATGAACTCTGCAAAGATAGAGATTTTCTTGAAGAAAAATCAAAATTATACTAAAAGGCTTTTAATAAACACTTTTAATCTTATTTTCTTAAATTAGTCTTACATGAATGATTATCAGTACTTTTACAATCTATAATGAAAACTCTGAGACACCCAGAAGAAATTATCGTGGCAACTTTGAAAAAGTAAGTTGACAGCCTCTTATTATATTGTACTGCCACCATTACTTAAAGGTTATTAATATATATCAAACTCAACTACTCAAAGGAAAATAAATCTACGATCTGAAAATGTGCCTGAGAACTAAAATCCAAGAAGAAAATAATTTGTAAGGCAGTAATTTATTTACTTAATTTTAAATATTTTATTTATTTATTTGAGAGAGAGAGAGAGAGAAAGAGAGGAGGGTGGCTGCAGGGAGAGGGACAAGCCTGCGATCATGAGCTGAACTAAAATCAAGAGTAGGAGGCTTAACCAACTGAGCCACCCAGGTGCTCGGTAAGATGGTAATATAATTAACTGAAAAAACAAAACTGAAAACAAGAATAGTGAAACATGTTAATAAGTCTAGAGAAAATTAAATGTGCATTACATCTAGGTTCTGTGATTCTTAAATGTTAATCTTTAAAAAGTACATTAAAACAAGTACATTCACTAAAACTGTTAAAAGCATGAATTATAAACTAAAATATGGTTTCTAATCATGTTCAAAACCAAGGTTCCAGTCAATATATTATTACATATGTAACATTTGCACAATAAATAGCTGAAATAATACATGTTCAAAATCACACTCACCTTTGTGTGTACAGTGAATTTTACTTTATCTCTTTCACTAAGAGCATCAGAAATGTCCACTTGCAGAGCAGCATCACTCTGAAGATCTACATTTATTGCTTTAAGCTAGAAAAAGATAATACTTTAATGAAAAGTTCTGTGGGCTTATACAGAATTTCATTATTTTCTCAGACATTAAGATAATGCAAAAACAGAACAAAAATAACAAAAGAATCTTAAATCTAAAAGGTTGTCAAGTTCATTTAAACCTCATATATGTTTTGGGAGGCAAGTGCTTTGGATATGTTACTACTTTTTTTTTTTTCTTTAAAGATTTTATTTAGTATTTGACAGAGAGAGACACAGAAAAGAGGGAACACAAGGGGGGGTAGTGGGAGAGGGAGAAGCAGGCCTCCAGCTGAGCAGGGAGCCCAGTGCAGGGCTCCATCGCAGGACCCTGGGATCATGATATGAGCCAAAGGCAGACCCTTAACGACTGAGCCACCCAGGTGCCCTGGGTATGTTATTATCTTAATCAATTTTCGTTCTATACCATTCAACTATACTTTGTATGAGTCGATGTGCTAACCATGATTCATTTTAATTTCACTCAAAAAGTAAACTACTGGGCACCTGGGTGGCTCAGTGGGTTAAAGCCTCTGCCTTCGGCTCAGGTCATGATCCCGTGGTCCTGGGATTGAGCCCCACATCGGGCTCTCTGCTCAGCAGGGAGCCTGCTTCCTTTCCTCTCTCTGCCTACCTGTGATTTCTGTCAAAATAAATAAAATCTTTAAAAAAAAAAAAAGAAAAAGTAAACTATTTTTTCTCTAACTTACTCTCTGCCATCATGGTATGTGTGGTTGACTATTCCTCACCATGGACTATCGCAGGGAAGTCTGGAAGTCACCCTAACCTAGGAGCTTGGATAGCCTGGGTTTGAATCCCGTCTCTGCACATTAATACTCTGATTTGGATCTTCTCACAAGGCCCATCAAGCAATTTCTGGCAAAGAAACAAAAGCAGAACTGTCCCATTCCCCAGTGGATTCAGATGAAAACTGGTAACAAAATTAGGTACAACTTCAAGAGGAGGCACTGGAGAAGAATTAAGCTGGTCTATAAGCAACAGCACATGGGACGGCACACATATCTATGCTGCACAGTCACAAACTCATATCCTACCACTCTGTAACATCACTACTACCTGAACAATAGACATGTTTTATCAGGGAAAGGATTCTTCTGTTACTATGCTTCTGCACCAGTTGGTTGGTTCAATAATAAATACATGAGACCTTTTGTTTGAAAAAACAAAAACAAAAACATAAAATTAACTATTCCGAGAAGATGGTCCATTAAAGTTCAAGTGCTCTAAAAGTAAGGAAAGTATCTACCTTTTTTCTTTTAAAAGATTTTATTTATTTGACAGAGAGAGACACAGTGAGAGAGGAAACACAAGCAGGAAAGTGGGAGAGGGAGAAGCATGCTTTCCACTGAGCTGGGAGCCCAAAGTGGGGGTTGATTCCAGGAGTCTGGGATCACGACCCAAGTGGAAGGCAGCCGCTTAACTGACTGAGCCACCCAGGTGCCCCTTCTTTTCTTTCTTTCTTTCTTTTTTTTTTTTTGTTTAAAGATTTTATTTATCTATTTGTGAGACAGAGGGAGAGAGAGAGCATGAAAGCGGGGTAAAGGGGAGAGGGAGAAACAGACTCCCGCTGAGCAGGGAGCCTGATGCAGGGCTCGATCCCAAGACTCCAGGACCATGACCTGAGCCAAAGGCAGACGCTTAACTGACTGAGCCACCCAGGCACCAAGTATCTACCTTTTAGAACACAAAAAATAATGAAAGGAATATTGGCTAATAATTCTACTGCTTAATACGGAATAAACTGTGAAACTATTGAATACAATTAAAGATATTACATATGTAAAGCACTAAGAAAAATGGTAACATACTCAACTACTGCCTGTGATATGAATTAAATTCACATTTTACTCTACAAGCTTTACTACGTTCAAAGAATTGAATATGTTCTAATAAATAAAATCTTAAAAAAAAAAAAAAAAAAAAAAAGAATTGAATATGTTCTAAATTTAGTGCTTTCATTTACTTGTCTATGAGAAGACTTCTCTACTTACAATTTTTTAAAAAAATAAATAAATAAATAAACTCTATACCCAATGTGGGGCTGAAACCCACAACCCGGAGATTAAAAGTCACATGCTCCACCCACTGAAGCAGCCAGATGCCCCTCTACTTTACAATGCTTATCATTAATTCTATTTATAATTTTTAAATTTCATCAATTTTTCTTCCCTTTTAACAAATATAAATTTTAAAATGTTTGGCTAATTTGGAGTCTTATTAAAAAAAATCAAATACACTATAAGATGAAAATGAAGTCTTAGCAGCAAAGATACGAAATTATTTGAAGTCTAATTAACTACCTAGCTTACTTCAAATACCGTAGTTAAACCCGGGACTTATTTTGGGAATCTCACCTAGTCACTGACATTTCACCTTTTATTTTTTTTTTTTTAAAGATTTATTTGTCAGAGAGAGAGGGCGCAAGTGAGCACAAACATCCCTGTCATCATAACCACAATTATCTCTAGTTCCCTCCTTTGACGTTTCTACTTCTTTGCTTTCCACCTCTTCTGTAAATTATCTTTTGTATGCGTTATTAAAGCTGGTAGCCATTCACATATTGCCTTAATGGCCATTAATCCAATCTATCATTTGTCTTTTTCATTCTTTTAGCAACTATGTTCTAGAATTGATCTCAGGAAAAGTGCCTGAATCATAAAGTCGGTCATAGCAAAATGCTGGTGGTGAGACTGTGACTCCTTTAATTTATATTTCATAGTAAATTCAAAATATCAGCTAAAGTGTTCATCCTGATATTGCATTTTTCTACAGTCAGTATGGTATACACTTCATACCTCAATTTTTTTAAAAGATTTTATGTATTTATTTGACAGACAGAGATCACAAGTAGGCAGAGAGGCAGGCAGAGAGAGAGGAAGGGAAGCAGGCTCCCTGCTGAGCGGAAAGCCCAATGCGGGACTCGATCCCAGGACCCTGAGATCATGACCCGAGCTGAAGGCAGCAGCTTAACCCACTGAGCCACCCAGGCGCCCCCATACCTCAATTTTTTTTTTCCATTTCCTGAGGTTACAGAGAAAAGGACACATTTGGCAATAAGATTTGCTTCACACACATTAGGATTTTTTTTTTAAGTCCTGTTTTCTAATAACTAAGATGTATAATGGAAAAGCCAGCCAATAAAATGAAATCATCCCCCACATAAATACAAAATTTCCACTGAAAGCTAATCTGCTACATTTTGTCATTTCTAGATGCGTATTTTTTTTTTTTTAAAGATTTTATTTATTCATTTGACAGAGATCACAAGTAGGCAGAGAGGCAGGCAGAGAGAGAGGAGGAAGCAGGCTCCCTGCTGAACAGAGAGCCCGATGCGGGGCTCGATCCCAGGATCCTGGGATCACGACCTGAGCCGAAGGCAGAGGCTTTAACCCACTGAGCCACCCAGGCGCCCCATCTAGATGCGTATTTTATGCATTTTAACACTTGAAACAGGATTGCTTTGCAACTGACAACAAATTTCAGTTTAACTGGAAATATTTTTTTTCTTGGTGGTACACAGATTTGATAAAGTATTATACTGTAAATTTAATGTTAATTACATAAAATGTACACAGGATTTTTCAGGCGTATTTCCTTCTTTCTTTAAAGTTAATAATATTAGAGAGCTTTTATTAAGGGAAAATGAAAGCAAACAACTTGTGATTCATCAACATTTAATTAACTGTCTGAAATTAGTGAGGTCGGTGTGAGGAAATTCTCATTAGATGACATTCACTGGTTTAATTCTTTAAACACTGTGTCAAGGCCAAGAGAAAGACTTGGCAGGGAAAACGGATTAAACAACATAAATATATATTATTAGAAAGATAATGTAGGGGCGCCTAGTCGGTTAAGCATCTGACTTTGGCTCAGGTCATGATCCCAGAGTCTGGGGATTGAGTGTCAGTGACGGGCTCCATAATGAGCTGCGGAGCAGGGAGTCTGCTCGTCCCTCTGCACTGCCCTCCCTTTGCGCTGTCTCTCTCAATAAAATCTAAAAGAATAAAATAAGAAAGATAATTTAAAGACAATGCCCTTTTGATTAATTTTCCACATATACTTATTTAGTAAAGAAGACATTCACTACTAATTTACTATACTGACTCATTTACTATAAGTATGTACCCTAGAACATTCCTAAAAAATTAGTTCCATCTTTTGCCAGAAAAGCAAATGTAGAGACATGAGTGGATGGATGAAGAAAAGGAAAATAACTCTATTGCAACAGCCTCCCAACTGGTGTCTTGCTTCTACCCCTCACTTTATTCTATTCCTTACAGAGCTACCAGAAGATCCCATTAAACATTAAACATAAACATCATTCCTTTGCTCAAAACCTAAGGGGTCCCCACTTGGAGAAAAGCCAAAGTCCTTACAGGGGTCTCCCAGGCAATACAAAATTTGTATCTGACATCATCTCTCAGGCTAATCTATTATTCCTCTGGCTCACTGTAAACCTGCCACATGTCTTCCTTGTCGTTCCTTTAATATTGGGGCATGCTGCCACCTCAGGAGTCTTTGCACTTACTGTTACCTCTACCTGGAATATTCTGCCACCAGATATCTGCAGGAATCACTCCTTCATTTCCTTCAAGTATTTACCAAAACATCACCTTCAAGGCCCTTCCTGGCAACCTTCAGACTACAACTCAACTCCCTTCCACTCCCAAACAATCGCTATCCCTCCCTCCTTTTTTTTTCATATCACTTGTTTACCATCTACTATATTTTATTTTTTTAATAGTCCTCCCTAACTAGAATGCCAATTTTGTGAGGACACAGGTTTTCGTTTTGTTCACTACTATATTCCCAGTGGCAGACTTCAATAACTACATGTTGAATGGAAAGTAGAAAAGGGCAGAAAGAAAGGTGGTAATCATAACTGGGCTAAGAAAATGTAATTATAGTATAATCAATGGAAAACCTCTGAGACAGACAGAAGTAAATTCCATTAGTCTCACTAATTCAGGCCAAAATTT